CTAAAAAATTCATAATTTCTTTTTCTTCTAGACCATAAATTGTTCCAGTAAGTTGTGGAACAAAGTATTAACAGAGCGGCAATACTTATTGACCATTTTCTGGGTACCTAATAAAACTGATCATTTTGACTATAAATATTATAATTTCCTACAACTTTTTCATGTGAAGTTAATCTGACCACAACAGAAAAGTACATTAGCACTGCTGAAAACGATCGACGACCTAAGAGGATCAAATATATTGAAAACAAAGATGTATGCAAATTTCCTACCCATTTTTTTTTTTGCAACATATTGAAGTAATCAAATATTCAATTTTGACTGTAGTTCATCTTCAGTCAAAGGTGAAATAATGTAGAAAATAAAAACAAATAGAAGATAAATTACTTTCAAATAAATAGCAGTGGTAAAATCATCAAAAAATAATATTATTAAGAAAACAGAAGGTAAAAGCTTAATAAAAAAAGATCAAGAAGTTTACAGCCATTTAATTTTGACTCTTTTTAGCTATTTGTTCTTCATTTTTTTGATTCTTTTCTTTATTAACTGGTACTCTTTTTTTATCAATTATAAACAAAGAAAAAAAAACTGTAGAAAAAAAGTGCGAAAAAAGACTTGAAAAAAAGATTTTTTTAACTTTTTTTGTCAGTATCAGCAGCAGCAGCAGTTATTTGTTGGCTATATTGAAGCAGTAACCAGCAACCTTTATTTATCAGTAGTTTAATGGTTCAAAAAAAGCAAAAAAAAAGGTGAAACTAAAATCTAAAATAAATCTAATTTTATACTGCCCACAGAGTAATAAACAGTCAAATGATAGATAAGTGTTTTTTTTTACCTTTCACTTTCATGCCGATGATCTGAATAACAGTAGAACAAAAAAAAGTTCCCCAAGTTTTCTTTTTACAACAACTTTACTTTTTCTACAACCTCTTCACAAAGATCGCTTTTGCTGCTTATCGTTTAGTTCAGTGTTACTATTGCAAAAAAAAAAAATAAGAAAATAACTTTTAGAAAAAGAGTTAACAAATTTTTTGTACGTCATTTAAACTATAAGCATTTTTTAATTTTTTGCATATTTTTTGGCATTTTTGCTTCACTGTTTATTTGGTTTTTCCATATTTAACTTCTGTTCTCTCTATTTTTTATATTTTTTGCAAAATTTTATAACTGAGTTTGACAAAAAACTACAAGAACTTTTAATATGTGTTGCTGTCATTCAGGCTGACTGTTAGCTATGGTAGCACAGTTCCAGTTAAACGACAATGCCATTTGGATAATAGAATCAAATAAAATCGATGAAAAAAAAAGACAAAAAGAAAAGCATTAAAATTATTTTACACCTTAACACATTACAGATACAGTTCTTTATAAACCCTCTTCCGCACTACCAGTTGTCTAGTTTCCATCGCTTTACTAAACAACTGAGTAAATAATTATAAGGACATTGAAAGCTGACAAGAAAAAATACATAAAAGAATTGCTACTACTATCTAAACTTTTAACTACATAATTTTTATCAAAATTTTTAGTCATTTTTTGCAACAGTCGTTTAACTCTTAATCACTTTTATTACGCTCAAGAAGAAGACTGTCAGTTTGTCTAACACAAAACTTTTGATTTCGTAACAGATACACTGCTCTTTGACGATACTATTTTTACAGCAATTGGTGTAATACAGCCTTATTTTTAATATTTACAATAATAGCTAACTTATTTTAAGTTAATTTTTGCATTTGGTTAGCCTTCAGTTAATTCAGTATATACTGTGTACTACATTCCGGCTACACATATATCGGTTTCTGTTGTCAATAGTTAACTGGGAACGATATATAACAGTACTTGGTACTTAAACTAGCTGATGATTATCGACAAAACAATAACGATGATAAATACAGCAGCAGTAATATTGAAAAAAAAAAA